AAGTTATCTTTTTTATTATTTTTTGACAAATCAGTATAAATAAGAAAGGTGCCCCTTGAGAGTTGTGCCCCTCTAGATTCAAAGTGTTTCCGCCGTCTATGAACATAATAAGCTTTACAGAAGCAATTAGAGTTTACTAGAGTGATGTTCACCAACAGGTTTCCAGATTTTTCTTTCAACTATAAAACCCTTCATAGAATGTTTTTTGGGTCATACTTCAGATGTTTTTGTAAATATATTTACTTAAGAAAATGGCAGGTTCACCAGATAAACAACTGGACTTTATTCTTGCACATAGTCATAAATGTAAAGTAGGTAAGTTTTCGACAATGTTAGCCAGTTAAACTATGACAAATAAAAACACTCAAAACTTCTCATACGAATGAAGCGCGTTGGTATTTTTTGCCGACATGTCGCTCAGTTTTGCATTATTATTATTATTATTTACAAATAAGTGTGAAGTGACATATTTTTATTTTTACCAAAATACTCAATTTTGATGATAAAAAACAACTCCAGTCTTTGAAAGAGCATAATCATTACGAAAGAAGTGAATTGGAACACCGCGTTGTTCTAGTCTTCAAATTACTTAAATTTGCAATTTGCCCCTCAAAAAGAAAGGTGCACCTTTCGAAATCGCTCTGGTTATAGGGTTTTTATCATTTTGTATCAAGATTTATTGAACCTACGTGTTTTTCTGACATCGTGAATAATTATGTTCGAATGGGTTACTTATGGTGAGTAAATAACACTACAAACGTCACTAAAACGTATTGGTAACAAAACCGAAGGCTGATTATAATGACGAGAAATGTAGTTTTAATCAAACTTATGTGTTTGAAAATGGTTGAATAAACATGTAATACGACGCATTTTAGCTGACGGTATAAAACAAATTAATCTCGACCGCCTCCTTTCGAAGTGGAGTACAAACTTCCCTTTGTCTATTTAATGAAACTTTATGCCTGCAGTTGGGGGAAAGAGGAGGGGGATATGTGATGTAGATTTCTTTCTACACCTGCTTTTGTGCTCTTTAATTATAAAAAAATAAATAAAAAATATTCAAGATTCATACAATTTCAGCTGAATCGAGTTTCCTTCACTTTTTGGTGAGTTTAGGTTAGTTGTTGGTCATATCAGATAAAAACAACAACAGCATGCTATGGTAAAAAGAGGTCTGCCAATTTTAGATCTTATCAGCAGAGATGGGGCAATGATAGAGAATGCCACCCAGTGGAGTTCTTATGCGCCTTCTGGGGAAGTATGTGTGATGTGTTTTTTGATTATCCACTGACCCTTCCGCTCTTTCATTACAAACGTGAGTGTTTGACAATATCCAACTAAGTTCCAGTTTCACTAGTTTTCCAGTTTTGTAAGATATGAAACTAAGTTCCAGTTTCGCTAGTTTCCAGTTTTGTAAGATATGAAACTAAGTTCCAGTTTCACTAGTTTTCTAGTTTTGTAAGATATGAAACTAAGTTCCAGTTTCGCTAGTTTTCCAGTTTTGTAAGATATGATAAGACGAACTGGTGTAAACAACAACAATAAAACCATTCCACACGTTTCAACTTTCTTTGCTAGAGAGTACAATTGTCATTCTATTGCTCAGATAACGCTTGAATTTTTATAATATTTTAAGATTCTGAATAACTGAGAACATATTCAAAGAAAAACACCTACGTTTAAGTTCTGATTTATCTTTATGTGTCCTAATAATATTGACTAAAGGTGTTGACTATTTACAGCACACTAAGATTATATTATACACCAATTCGAAGTCAAAATTAGCAAGTATACACACGAGAAAAAGCTTTTAAACGGCCCTATAATGGGCAAAGTCTACAAAGATGACACATGTGATTGATTTTTACATTTTGTATAGAATGTCATTCGTTGCATGTATTTACCTATGGAGAAGATGATAACAAGAAGAACACGGTTGCCTAGACACGCATATCAAAGTAAAGAGTGTAGTTTATAGAAGCGGATAATCACTTCTAAGTTAAAGAAAAACTTTTCTAGAGACGCTGTGAACAGAGAAAACAATCCCATTATAACAGATGTACACTCAGAAGTCTAGGATCGGAGCGGGAGGGGGTATACAGCATTCAGTGCTTTATCCTTCCGTATTCTGAAGCTGGTGAGACTTCGTCTAAGAACAAGATACATCATTAGCAATGGTGTTGCCTCTAGATACATGGAGGTCTGTGAAAATAAAGCCTTTACAGACAGGCATTCCTCAGTCTGTAGCCTATACACTGTAGGTAATGTAAAAAAAAAAATCGATTTCTTTTTCCCAGAACTTCCGCTTCCACCGAGAAAAAGGAAATCACTTTTAGTTTTTCTTCCTTTTCTAATTTATCATCTTAACTGAGGTAGCACTACAGGTTCGGTTAGAAGACTCAGAAATCTTCAGCATCATTTTTTTAAAACTCACTTATTTAGTCTACGTACAATCTTTTATCAGTTAATGGCTTATCTCGTTTGTTCTCGTCTCTCATGATTTCTCTATTTCCTGATGGAAATAGTAACTGAAAATATTATTTCAATTGTGCTTCAAACCGACATTGGTTAAAAGCAAATTTTCAAGTTCTAAATATTATAGAGGTTTTTTTTTTCTATAGCTATGGTTATTTTGACTATAAAGCTATTGCAGATTCATAAAATATTACAAATGAAATCTATTTTTATTCCCTCTCGCGGAACGAAACCAAATCTACGAATCCAATTTGTTTTAGAGATATAACAGTACCACACGAAACATATAAGATTTTCAGTCTTATATTTTAAACATATACTTACCTTTTTTGTTAGAATTTAAGCACAAACCTACACAAGGGGCTAATTGTGCTCTTATCACCACGGGTATACGAAACCCGGTTTCTATCATTGTAATCCGCAGACATACCGTTGTGCTACTGGGGGAACCGGTGTGTTCTATTTTAATCTATGTTTTGAGTATCATACTAACCATTAATTTAAACTGTATAAATATATACAATTATAGAACGATGCTGTTCTGCAATAACGTAGTCGATACCTAATATACTGGTAAAGGACTTGAAAAAATAAATAAAAGTATGGGATTAATATGAAAGTGGGTAAAATAACCATAACCATGTTTCTTGTAACCATAACCATGTTTCTTGTAACAATAACCATGTTTCTTGTAATCATAACCATGTTTCTCGTAACCATAACCATGTTTCTTGTAACAATAACCATGTTTCTTGTAACCATAACCATGTTTCTTGTAACCAAAACCACGTTTCTCGTAACCATAACCATGTTTCTCGTAACCATAACCATGTTTCTTGTAACCATAACCATGTTTCTCGTAACCATAACCATGTTTCTTGTAACCATAACCATGTTTCTTGTAACAATAACCATGTTTCTTGTAACCATAACCATGTTTCTCGTAACCATAACCATGTTTCTTGTAACCATAACCATGTTTCTTGTTCCCATAACCATGTTTCTTGTTCCCATAAGATTTATTTATAAATAAATAAATAAACACCATTTACAATGGCCAGGTGGTTAGGGCGCTCGAGTCGCAATCTGAGGGTCGCGGGTTCGAATCCAAGTCACACCAAACATGCTTGCCTTTTCAGCCATGAGGGCGTTATAATGTGACGGTCAATTCCACTATTCGTTGGTAAAAGAGAAGCCCAAAAGTTGGCGGTGGGTGGTGATGACTAGCTGCCTACCCTCTAGTCTTTCATTGCTAAATTAGGGACGGCTAGCGCAGATAGCCCTCGTGTAGCTTTGCGCGAAATTCAAAACAAACAAACCATTTAAAAAAGGTTTGTTTTGTTTTCTGCCCATCGTGAGTATAAAAACCCGATTTTTAGTATTATATCCCCTAGGACGTAACGCTGAGTTTTAAACAATGGTTTAAAAAAAAAGTATTTTTTTCGATTTCTGACGTTTTCAGTTAAATATTCGTATAAATTCAAAATGTGTTAAACAGATGTTAATTTGTTTCTTCAAATGAACTATTACATTTATCATAATAGATTTTAAGGTCGGGCTAATTGAAATTGCCATCAACGTGCCGTGTACATCAAAATGATTTTGTACAAAAACGCTATATGAACATAAACAATAAACAACTAAGTGCACTGTATATTAGAATGACAAGCAGGTGGGTTTTTTAAATATCCTGTAACGTACTTGGTTTATAAAGAACAGATACAGAGGTTAGGGTCATGGAATCTAATGATACCTACCTGTCTTCTTGGCGGCTTATAGTTCCTGGAAAACAACCTGTTTCAACTCATCCCTTTCCCCCTCAACTCTTTGCGTGTATGGTTCTTATTATACAGATGTCAAGATCAACATGGTTGAACGCTTACCTTCGGGAGACAAAGGCAGCGTAAAAGGCTGCTTTATTGCATATTCCGTGCAGATATATTCGTGCTCTAGAACCCAAACTGTATTAGTTTGGCTAAGGATGATCACATTTATTCTTTTTGTTCTATTACTATGCTGTCTTACATACATGTGTCTGGTTACGTGCGTTTCTTGTCCATATGGAAACCTCTGGTGACTGTGCTGACATGGAATGTAGCCTGGAGCTCTCAGACAGGTAGGATTAAAACAATTTCAATGTAAACATACGTGGTTATTCCTGAAAAGAGGGTTACAGTAGTTATTATAAAAATATGGTTTCGAAGAACGAAATTGGAAGTTGGTGTGGTAGTGAAATAGATCTGTTGAACGTTACAGTAGTTACTATAAAACATTGTTTGGAAGAATGAAAGTGGAATGTGTTGTGGTAGTGAAATAGATCTGTTGAACGTTACAGTAGTTACTATAAAACATTGTTTGGAAGAATGAAACTGGAATGTGTTGTGGTAGTGAAATAGATCTGAGAATGTTGTGGCAGTCAAATACTGTAGGATGTTATGTTTAACAAGAAAAGTAATGGTCATCAAGGATATTGAAACAAGTACACTGTGTTTATAACATAGACTGTAAGTACTAGTGATCATCAAGGTAAGTACATCGAAAATAATAAATGCGTGTTTTGGTGTTTTTACAACTGGAGTGAAAATACTAGTGATCATCAAGGTAATCACATCAAAATGAATGAATGTGAGTTTTGGTGTTTTTATAACTGGAGTGAAAATACTAGTGATCATCAAGATAATCACATCAAAATGAATGAATGTGAGTTTTTGGTGTTTTTATAACTAGAGTGATAATAATAGTGATAATTAGTATTTTAAATTAGGAGCTATTTCGAGTAAAGTTACACTATCAGGATCATTTTTTCAATACTGGAAGGGAAAAGCTTATAAAATAATCTTCATTACGTGAGCAATATTCATTACTGAAATTGAATACGTTCACCTGAAATTATTATTTTTTGTTTTTACCCGAGAGCAGCCGCGAGTAATCTTCCGACCGAGTCAAATATTTTGTTCTGATTACAACAAAATCAATGAAGCAAATAACATATTTCAATCTGCTTTAAAGTAAAGTAGATCTGGACTAATAATCAAATACCGCTTGCGGATTTCGTGAAGAACAGAGCGTGCTCGAATAACAAAATCAAGTAGGTTCAACAAGATAAAGTTAATTAGAGCCAAAAGTTATTCCATCACGTGGAGTAAAATCTAATTAATCGTTCTGTTTGTTAGAGATGAAATGTTCCGCTGCTGTATTCTGTATGTATTGAGATTACTCATTCTAGCTCTACCAACATTCTGTAAATATGTTGGTTGAAAACTGAATGAAAACAACATCTGATCTAAGAGATGGGCGAAACATTCCACCGAAACGGAATTAACCTAGAGTACGATTCCACATAAAGGATGAAATTTGCTGAATCAGAAGCAGATTGTAAGTTTTTGAATTTCAGATCGAAACGGAACATAATTTAACAATTATAGAGTAATTTTCCTTCGTTATTAAACGCTAACATGATAACAGAACAATGTCACATGTGAAATTTATGAAGTGAAAAAAAAAAAAAAGATTCCGAGCTGATTGCTATAAGTATTCACTCTCCCCCTATTTTGTATGCATCATTCAGGTATTTATGTTTTAAAAAAAGCGAGTATCAAATATTACAAAATCCTAAGAACAGAGCCGGCCGTAGGAAGACAAAGTAGGCATTTGACTAGGGCGGGAAAATGTAGGGGCTGCAAGAAAGAGAGTAATAGGAAATGCTAAAAACAAAAAGAAAAAATTAAAGAAAGTGAAAGGAAGGGAAAATGAACCATAAGAGAGGAAATAAAAAGAGAAATAAAGCATAACATTAGGGGAAGAAGGTCATTGGTTAAAACAAAACATAGCAAACTTAACATTTCAGTAAAGTCTAAGCAACATAGAGGTATTGTACTATATTTCTATAAGCCAATGATTATCGCTTCCTGTGACGCGGTGGCGATTTGTTATTGTTGTAAAAAGTTCCAGAAACTAAGACTTTCTAGAAAATCCACATCTAGAAGATTCCATGAACGCTTATCGTCTGCAATACAACAAGGTGTGACTGAGTTAGGTGAAAGTTATGTCTTTGTATGAGCGTACAGTGGATATCAACATAGAAAGTATAATGTTTCTGTTAATGTTTTTCAGAGACTCTATCTAGTTTAATAACAAAATGTCATTATGGTAGACATTGCCTCTCTGGGACTGAGTACAGGAAACGAAAGACAGCAATGAAAGGAAACATAGGGGTTCTATTAAAAACAAATGTGAAGAAAGATTTGGATGTTTTTAAGAAGTTTATTTGTGAATATATTAAACGTCAAACCACTGAAAAATATTTGATGGATGGGAGGGTATAGACTAGAAGCTGTGCGTGCTGTTACTTGGATAGAAGATTTGACACTCATTGGAACTCATGGAACAACAACAAACCGTCAAGCTAAGATTCTCGCACCTAAGCTACAAAGCTTCATGATCGGGCGTGATGCGTTATTTGAACTAACATAACTATAAAAACAACAACAAAAACATGAGGAATTTGCCAGGGCCCTGACAGATGTTAACCGAGACTTTTAAAAACTGGATATGAGTGTATCAAAATTATTCTCCAACACTTTGGTGGACACAATAAACTTTTTTCTTTGACACTCCATATTAACCTCTTCTAGTTACACAAAACATAAAAAAGTAAACGAAAAAGACAAAATTGTCAGAAATCCTTGTAATATTATGCACAGAGAAGGGGGGGGTCATAAGGTCATCTGCCAACTTTGCAAGAAAAACCTATAAAAGCGAAATAGAAAGATATGTCCATGATAGATACCAAGGGTTCCTGCAAAATAGACATGAAGCAAACGTTTAGACCCACGCCATAACAGAGCATATGCACAATAAACACACTTTCTTACATCCTAGCCAACCTCCTGCGAATTTCTTGGATTGAAACTACAAAGAAGACTTTTTAATCCAGAACCACAAATATCAATTAACAAAAGCGTTGGATAACCACTTATATAACGTCTAAGTGTTGTTGTGACTATTCAAGTTACTAATATATCGTATATATATTTATAATGTAACTGATTTGTTACAGTTTCTTTCAACATTGTGTATATTAATATAACCTTGCACTATTAAATGACAGGGTTAGTGTTACGTCAACAATGACATTCCTATTTAGTCTCCACCTACATAACATACACAAGTAACTTTTATATATATATATATATAAATTATTTTAATTAATTTGATGGTTTATGTATTATTACATCACAATAAATTTAAAATAATTTTAGATAAGTATTACAGAAATTGCCTTAACTTAGTTCTCGATAAGAAGAATGTAATAGCATCTAGGTCGCACACCTGGTTTGCACAACGCCGTTTCCGAAAAGACCTTTCCCTCAACACTATTATATTTCTACATATATCATGCTTCGCCGGCATAAGACGTTTTGTAACATAACGATTGGAAGTTAAAGATTAAGTATTAGATGATGATATATTCAAATTTCCAAGCAGACTTAAAATCACAGAAATATAATGGAATGGATAAAGGAATATAAGGGAATGGATAAGGGAATATGAGGGAATGGATAAAGGAATGGATAAGGGAATATAAGGGAATGGATAAAGTAATGGATAAGGGAATGTAAGGGAATATAAGGGAATGGATAAAGGAATATAAGGGAATGGATAAGGGAATATAAGGGAATGGATAAAGTAATGTATAAGGGAATGGATAAAGTAATGGATAAGGGAATATAAGGGAATGGATAAGGGAATATAAGGGAATGGATGGATAAGTTCATTAAGAACTTAGTGCAACAGTCCATAATAATCTGTTTCGCCATTTTTGAAACTCTGCAAGAAGAATAAAGAAGAAAGGTGATTTATTTCCTTTCCAAACGTCAACAATATAAAAACAAGAGTTCAGGTGTGACATTAAAAAGCAACTCATGAACAGTAACATTGCTCTTACAGATCAAAAATCTTAATCGAGAGATGTCAATTCACTGGAATTTTATGGTGAATCCAAGGCGTCGTCAAGGGTCGTCCTACCAGGAACGAATCCAGTTCATGCAATAGAGTATCTAGAAGATAAGAAAAATCATCCCTCTCTCTCTCTATCGAAATGTATACACTGTTCTGAAAATTCTTCTGGCATTGACAATCACGGAAAACTAATGTACGACGACATAGGAGAGTTTAGTTGGTATTTCCATCACATCGATTGAGCTGAATCATTGAACTTGAAAGATTTTAGATTGTCCTACAGATTTCATTTTACCAGACTAAAACTGTATAAATTTGTTGTGTAAAAGTTATACTCAGCATTCATTTTGAATTTGTAATGAATAGTTCAAGTAAATTCTTTTGCATGTAACAATAAATATACATGTTGTTCAATGCAAAACAGTACATTAGTTTTTGTCATATAATTGACCTTATTCTGCACAAATCCAATAGCATATAATAACTTTTTACTTTGTCTACAACGGCAAAAAAACTTTGCTTTGGTTGTTATTAAGCACAAAGCTACTCAGTGGGCTATCTGTACTCTGCCCATTATGGGTATCGAAACCCGATTTTAGTGTCTTAAGCCTGCAAACTTATTACTAAACCAGTGGGGGGCGGCAAAAACCTAAGGATGTCATTGGCTAAGAAGAAGATTCTTCGTAAAACTCTAGGGTAAACAGAGAATGTACGCACTACATATACGATACTAAAATCGATTTGAGGGGTTTAATATCCAAATATTTACTTTTTTTTGTGGCAAATGGAACATAGTTTTATTAAAATTTAGTATAATTATGTTCATTAGCATGTAATATGGTTAAACGGTTAAAAACAGGTTCGCTAAGGTAGATATGCGATATGTTTTAACTATTCAGGAATGATTAGCAGTAGGCTTAGAATGTATCGTTGATCGTTGACTTATTGCTTTCGCTATCCATTCTCAAAATCTTAACAGGATTACACCTGAGAAAGAACTAAATGCTCACTATCGCTTTTATCGAACGACTTTTTTTTTTACAAAATGATCAACGCTAAGTGTATCGTGAAGTTATCAACTAAAAGGTTTTAGATTCCTTAATGTTTTCAATCTGCATCTGACGTCAGCATAATCCCAGTTTTTGTGATTAATGA